GTCTTTTTTTAACACTGATTATGGGTCTTTATCTTTATCTTAGTTGTGTCAGTTCTGGGTCTAATTAACGTCTTATCAAAGTAGAAGGGCCAATCCATGTACTCTGCTCCCCAAACAACCCCTTAATGATTAAAACGATCTTGCAGTCTTCCCCCCAAAAAGTAAAACAAACACCCTGCCCTTTGTATCTCACGACTGAGAAAAATGCTCTGGCTTCACTTCAATTGCCAAGGTGAGCAAAAAGTTCATTAGTGGAAGGTTTGACAACGGGGACATGGCAAAGGAAGCTAAAGTCCCCTCCTGACTTCTGAACTGGTCTCACTGGCAGGTTCAGATGGTACATCCAGATAGCAAGGCCAGCATTCTGTCACTGAAACACACAACTAAAATGGATGAACGCAGAACTCCAGCCAGAGCAGATGGCTGTGTGTAAATGTTAATTAATATTAAATGCTACCAGATGATCGTGAGTAACTGATTTAAGAAACAGGGTAAATAAGGAAAAAAACAAAATCACAAAATAACAAACCCAACTTTCTTCTCTGGGGGTTCCACATATTTTCATAGGTTTATTTTCCTTCAGTCAAAAGCCTTTAAGTCTTTATCGTAAGTAAAGGATTTCTATGGCAATGGGAGAGATCACTGTACATATATCACTTTCCTATCCGTCCCCACTCCTGCTTGGGATAGACCTGACCTAGAGAGAATGACAAGAGCCTCTGGCTCACTCCTCTCCCTTCTTCTCCTCATTGTCTTCAACCACCTCCAGGGGCTCCCTGGCCTGATTATTGTCCAGACCTCTCCCTACCTCCAGAAGCTCCCCCGCAACCAGAGCCAGAGATCCACTCTACCCAATCTCTAAGACTCCCTCAGCTCCACTTAGGGCCCTAAATTCTACCCCAAAAAGCACAGCCACCTGTGCAACATCTCCCCATCACAGTAAACTCAATACCTGCCACACTGACCTTCTCATCTTCCCCCAGAAACTAGCTCCCACTTTCCTACGTGTATTTTTTCAGCTCAGTCATCTCTGATTCTCCTCAATTGCTCTTCCCTTGTCTTAGTACGTTCAGGCTGCTGTAACAAAACCACCACTGACTGACAGGGTGGCTTACGCAAGAAATCTGTGATCAAGTCGATCAAGGGGTCAGCTGATTCAGTGGCTAGTGAGGGCCCACTTCCTGGCTCACAGACCACGTCTCCTGGTTCTGTCCTCCTGTGGTGGAGGCACCAGGAAGCTGAGTCCCTTTCATTCAGGCACTAATCCCATTCATGAGGGCTCCACCCTCACGACCTAATTACCTCCCAGAGGCCCCACGCCCAATACCATCCAATCGGGGATTAGGCTTCATTGTATAAATGTGAAGGGACACACACGTTCAGTCCACAGCATCCCCCGCTCTCCACCAACCCCAAGTTGACTCCTTCTTCCTTTACGGTGCACTGCACCTGCATCCGGTCAGACCCACCACCAGCCACCCAAGCTGACCTTTACAACCTCAGAGACAGCAAGCGCCTCCTCACAGGTCTCCCTGCCTTTGGTCTCTTCTAATGGTAACATGACAACCAGGATTCAAAACTGCGGCTGTCCGACTCCAAAGATGCTCCCTCCCTGCTTAAAAAAAAGGAAAAAACCATATGGCCCCCCAATGCCTATCACTCAAAGTCCAAACTCCTCAACCTCTCAATTCAGGCTTTTCTAAACCTAACAGTCCAATATCACCAGACTGTTCTGCAGTCAAGTGTGTGACATCCCCATCCCCATTCAATTAACACAGGCATACCTCGTCTTAACTGCACTGCGCAGATACTGCATTTTTTACAGACTGAAGGTTTTGTGGCAACCCTGTGTCGAGAAAGTCTGTCGACCCCATTTTCCCAACAGCATTTGCTCACTTCCTATCTGTCTCGTTTTGGTAATTCTCACAATATTTCAAACTTTTTCATATTTGTTATGGTGATCTGTGTTCAATGATCACAACTCAAAGTATTTTTTAATTAAGGTACGTATTTTTTTTTAGACATTGCAGACTTAGTAAGACTACAGTACAGCACAAACATAACTTTTATAGGCACCAGCAAAAAATTCACTTGACTTGCTTTATTGCAATATCTGCTTTATTGCAGTGGTCTGGAATTGAATCCATGGTATTTCCAAGGTATGCTTCTACCATTTCTGCTCTGTTTTCAATTCTGTCCCCCCAGAAATGATCTCCTCTTAGTTCCATGCTTATCTAAATCCTACCTCTTTCATGAACCGGTTCAGATTATACCTAAATTCCTACAGCAATTGTTCACAAATTATTTAGCAATGATGTTGTGTAACATCTTGCCTGATACCTGAATTTTAACTTGTAGTAAGGAACTTATAGATTGCTGAAGGGAAAACAGGTTGACAGTCTCGTCAAAAGCTAAACACAAAAATCATCATTTTTACCATAGACTCCTAAGTATCTATGCAAAAGAAATGGAAAAGCCCACTCATAGACTTGCACAAGGATGCTCAAAGCAACATTATAAAACTTAAACCTTCCTCATCTGATGAGTGGTTAAATATGGAATACCCATACAAAGGATTACCACTCAGGCATAAGGAACAAACTACCAACACATGCTGTTGCATGGATAAACCTTAAAAACATTATGCTACGTGGTAAGACACAAAATACCACATTTTATATGATTTCATTATATGAAATATCCTGAAAATGCAAATTTATGACTAGTAGTAGCCTGGGGTTGGGATCTTTCTGGATGATAAAAAAAGGTTTTAAAATTGATAGATGATGATTGCTGCACTAGTTTATAAATTACATCACTTGCTGCACTACTTTATAAATTACATCACTTGATTTGAGTCAATTTCATTTATAAAATGTACTTCAATGAAACTGAAAAAAAAATTCCAAAAAATTACAGTAGGCGCTCAAGTATCAGTTGAATATTTAATCTCTTATCTGTATCTTCTCACCACCCTCTCCCCTGCAACTAGACCCTAAACATCTTGAGGACACAGACCTAGCTTCCCACTCAATTTTTTAAGCTAATTGTTAACACAAACTGCCCCTCACCCAAAGCTACACATACACTGTGTTCATAACTGTTGGTGGATTTGGGTTTTGTCAAGTCAGGCTATAGAGTGAGGCCACCAAAAGCATCACTGAGGAAACGGTGTATGCGGATGCAGAGGCAGAGTAAGTGAATTCAAATCACAGCTCCTCCACTTCATAATTGTGAACTCAGGACCTCTGTAAGCCTGCTTCCAGTCTAAAATGGGGAAAACAGTGACAGCCACCTCACAGTTATATGGGGATGAAATCAGATGGGTCTGGATAAAAGGTTTAGCCCGGTGCTTAGAACATGCAAGAGCTCACCGAATGTTGGCTTTAACACTCACACGAACCGACGCAAATGCACACACACCAGAGAAATCTCTTTCAAACCGGAAACAGCGTTCCACAGCAGAGGGGACAACTACGGATGGCTCCACCCTCTTCTTGTCATCCAACATGTAACAGTGGCCCTGGCGGACAATTCCTCTCCCTCCCAAGCCCAGTGAAGTTTATGTGGGACCAGAAATACTACTATTCACTTAACCAAAAGAACTACACATTGCCCACGACTTTCAACATTTAGTTTGTCTGACCCTCCGTCTGCCAACTCCCATCCTGCAAGGTGGGTCTTCACTTCCTGGCCCCCTTGGTGTTTAGCAGGGGAAGGTATCCAGTTCTAACCAATAAACTATGAGAGGAAGTGACAGGTCACTTGGAAACCAGAACGTGTTTGTGTACAACCCTCCACAACCAATTCCCTCCTCCCCCAGCAACTAGCAATGGTCCAGTGGGTGGCTCCTGTCAGCTACATGAGGACAACATGAACACATCCCCCAGCTAACCTGCAAAGGATTCAGTGCGAGTGAAAAACAAACTCTATACTATGCCTAGGAGTTTGGGGGGTTGCTAGCACAGCATAACCTAGCCTCGCCTGACAGTCACAAGACTCTCAGACTGTGAAAGTAATGTAGTTTAAATCTCTTACCCCTGAAAAGCCTTCTAGCCCCTCTTTATTCCCTTGGCTTCTGTGACAAGCCACTCTTGTTGCTCTGTCAGTCTCTCTAACCTTTTCTCCATTTCCTCATGGTCTCTTCCTCTGCCTGACTCACTAAACCCTGCTGTGAACCAGGGTTTTGTCCTCACCTCGTTACTGTTCTTATCCTACACGCTCTCCAGGGCGATCTTACCCGCTCTCCTGACCCATCTACTACATAAACACTAACACTACCCAAAGCAATCCCAGGCTGGCTCCTGGCTTCCCTCATGCCCAAAGTCCTGCTCGTGCTCTACAAGCATCATGAACCCAATAAAACCAAGAGTCCTCCTACACACCCTACCTGGGCTAACAGCACCTAACTCGACTTAAGTCTTCCAGACCAGAAACCTGACAGTTAAGCTAGATGCCCTCCTCTACTCTCCCTAACCTCCTGCTCATTCAAACCTCCAGTCCAGTCAATTTCAACCCCCTCTTAAATGTTTGTTACTGTTGTTTGGAGGGGAGGGGTGTTTTTTATTTGTTTAATGTTTATTACAGTGAATACTAAAAAAAAAAAAAATTATTTCAGGCTTGGTGTCAGGCACACAATGACGCTCCACCTGAGGAATACAGTCTCATCCAGACCAAGAACCAAGAAAGCTGAGCACCTGGGTGGCTCATTCAGTTAAGCAGCTGCCTCCAGCTAAGGTCATGATCCCAGAGTCCTGGGACCGAGCCCCACGTTGGGCACCCTGCTCAGTGGGGAGCCTGCTTCTCCCTCTCCCTCTGCCTCCTCTCCCCTGCTCATGCTGTCTCTTTCTCTCAAATAAATTAAAATAAAAATCTTAAAAAAAAAAAAAAGAACCAAGAAAGCCACGATTTCAGAGTACACGGTACGAACTATGCCAGCGGCATCCTGCAGATCCACCTCATCTCTTCAGCCACTTGTTTAAGTAAAGGACTCAGAACAATGCCAAAGAAGCTTTCGTTCTTTATTAAATTCTCTTAAGTGTTACCAATATTATTATTCAAGTTTAAGACAGGGCAAATCTTATGAAGTATTTATGGGTTCTCTTCTTATAAATAAATTTATAAAGAAAACATCCACTAATTCATCTCTACTCTAAGCTGCTCAATTCTCTCAAATTGGAAAGAAGATTCTGGTGTACTAAAAAACCAGAGCCGAGGCTTTTCAGTATGTTCAATTACAATACTTTTAATTTAACTCTTGAGTGGTTGGTGTCTTTTGATAATTTTAACTATTAAACAGCAGTATGTGCTTATCACCCCTGGTCATCTTCAGCCTCAAAACACCTTGAGATTCTCCACATAGAAGAAAACTATTACCAAACTTACTGCAAATGTTTGATCATGTAGTTAGAAGCCTTTTGTGCTCAACCCAGGCAGCGCTATTCCTGCACATTTCAGATGACCGCCCAAGGCACTTCAAACACCTGAGCACCTTTCCTCTTTCTACAAACTCTCCTGAAGAAAAAGCAGTCAAGAAAATTGTTCTAAAACCCAAAAATGCAAAGCAATTTATGCTTTGTTTCTACTTTTTTCCTCAGGATGGGAAATTTGGTCAGTCCTTAACTTGGCCTGATCACGGCTCTGACAGCAGTGCCAAATATTCTACTGCACAAACGGAAAGCCTAACCAGGGATCAAGCATGAGAGGACGGTTCCAAATACCTCCTATTATTCCGGAAACACTAGCACCTTCCTTTCAGTGAGCTCCAAAACCTGTGGGTTAAGTCACCATTTTAAATCATTTCAACAGCAGAAATTACGTGGCAAGTATTCTTTGCACTACCTGAAAACAAGGAGGGGGAGGTGGGTGCCAACAAGGTCCATGTGACTTGCCCAAAACTGTAAATCTAAAACCTGACTGTTGGGATAGCTGCCAACAACCTGAAACTGCTTACTCTAAAAAACATTACCAAATCAGATCTTCTTTTTGAATCCAAGGTTTTCTCTTTTTTCCAGACAGAGCACAGCTTTTTTCTCTCCGAACATACCAGTCAGGGTATTGCTAATTAACTTGACTGGGTGGCTTTACAGTCTCAGACCAGACAGTCTAGCTGGCTGCTAGGAAAAAGGTTTCATAGCTTAAAAATATATTATATGAAGTGTTAGTTTAAGATGTGTGTGAAAACGATTTTTAAGTTGCTGCAAGAGCAGAATGTTAAGGCAACGTCAGAAAACAGAGGTGTTGTAAAACACTAAGCCCTACTCTCCACCTGGTAAACAGAGCTAAATGATAAGATGTTAATCCCCTAATACAAAAACGTCCCAAAATAATCTATTGAACTTGACTTTGCAATTTCATCTTTTATATTTTGATGGCAGTGAGAGAGACCCTGGGGCTGTAACTCCCTTGCAAAAATTTCAACACCTGATTTACTCACGAGGCTTAAAATAAGGAAGGGAAATATAAAATAAGTTGTCATTTGCTTGGCAACCATCCTTTTAAATTACCTATTTTTATACTGTATCCAGGCTACACCTGGGTATGGATGGCTAATCTGGATATAGAAAACACCTAGGATCACTTTTGGAAGAAACACAAGACAATAAACTTCTCAATCAGTACATCAACAGTATCAGGGTAAGCAAGAAAAGGACTTTACCAAGAGACTGACATTTATACTTTTTGACAGAACTGAAATACACGGAATTACAGAGCAAATTCACTGAAACAACAAAGAAAAATCTGTCCTTGTAAAGGCTATCTTTTTTACCCCCAAAAAAGTGTTTCAATTTTGATACTTACACCACACACTGGTTAAGAAAATAAAGCGCGGTGTTTAGCAATGGGGCGGGGCAATCCTAACTACCTTGAGAGGCGCTGGGCTCACCCTCCCCAGCAACCACTGAGGTCAGCAGGGCCAGGCACCAGGAGAGCCTCCTATTTCTCTGCACAAGCTGCCGCAGTCTCCTTATTGAAGCCCCGGATGGAGAGATCATAGACCACCTCCTCTACTTTCTTCACATCGTACTTCAAGCCGTCATAGCGCTTCCTCAGGGAGTCGTTTTTCAGGTTGAGAAGGCGGAAGCCGGAATCCAGCTCATTGATGAAGGTGGAGATGTGGAGGGGCCGGGAATAGTCTCCGGCAGTCACACTGTTGACAGACAGCCTCGACTACACGAGGGAAGGCAAACGCGGATATGTCACAACAGGACTCTTCAGCACATCTTCCTCCCAGTCACAACTAAAAGACCCTCAAAGGCCACGCAACTTTTCTACATGGTCTTTTAATAATTACATTTTGACAATGTTTAATATTACAAAATTACCTCATGACAAGAAATCATTCCCTTTCTGTTGGAGTTTCCCTGGTCTACAGTTTTCATCAATACGAACAAAGGCTACAGTGGACACCTTTATAACAGCCTTTTTTGTTCTTTAGAATTATTTTCATAGGACAATTTCTCCAGAGAGACATTAAAAGAATACGGGCAAAAATAATATATAGTTATACAGTTAAATTGTTCTCCAAAGCAAGTATATGTATTGACACAGTTACTAAGAACATATACCTCTTGCCAATACTTTAAAAGGAAGAGGTATTAGTATTACCATCTTTTAAAAATTCACACATTGGTAAGTATGCACAGCTAGCTCACTGTCTGAACTGGCCTTTCTCTGATGACTAGCAAAACATAACACACACTGTGTACAACGACGAAGTGGTGGTCAACAGAGGGCTTAGAAAAGACTTCCTGAATTATTGTACCCATTTTAAAAACTGACAGTGAAGTGGGAAGATCAAAAAAGCAAATGGCAGGGGTGCCTGGCTGGCTCAGTTGGTGGAGCATGTGACTCTTGGTCTTCGGGTCGTGAGTTCAAGCCCCACGGCGGGCATGGAGCCTACTTAAAAATAAAATAAAATATTAAAAAAAAAAAAAAGCAAATGGCAAACCACTAAACTTCTTACCAATTCACTGGCAAGAATTAGAACTCCTGAGAGATAATCTTCTACATCCAGATGAAATCCTTTCTCCCGATCTGGCTCAACTAAAAAATATACCAAAGTAAAAATAAAGTCATGATGTGAACAGAACCTGAACCTAAAAATGTAAAACACTGTATCTACATATATATATGCACACATATAATTTCTCTCAACAAAAGGAAAAAAAAAAGAAAAAGAATCTTTTACAATTGTGTTTTTAATGGATTCAGACTTTTGGCAACTAGGCCTCACTGTGGACTTTTGAGCTTTTTAGCCTGCAATTTTTCCTTTCATTCTTCTCTAAAAAAGTACCACCCCCAAGAATGTTACCTAGTTGTATCAGAGAACATCTTTGTTTTTGGACAATGCATGCTGCAGCATTTAAAGAAACCATGATACTACACACGGTTTTCACATGGTATATGCACACGTGCACACAAAGTTAACAGACCGAAAGATACGGCAAAAGAATAAGCAGAGGGGCGCCTGGGTGGCTCAGTCGGTTAAGCGGCTGCCTTCAGCTCAGGTCATGATCCCAGGGTCCTGGGATCGAGCCCCGCAACGGGCTCCCTGCTCAGCAGAGAGCCTGCTTCTCCCTTTCCCTCTGCCTGCCGCTCTGCCTACTTGTGCTCTCTCTCTGTCAAATAAATAAATAAAAAATATCTTTAGAGCGCCTGGGTGGCTCAGTTGGTTAAGCGACTGCCTTCGGCTCAGGTCATGATCCTGGAGTCCCGGGATCGAGTCCCGCATCGGGCTCCCTGCTCGGCGGGGAGTCTGCTTCTCCCTCTGACCCTCCCCCCTCTCATGCTCTCTCTCTCTCTATCTCATTCTCTCTCTCAAATAAATAAATAAATAAAATCTTAAAAAAAAAAAAATCTTTAAAAAAATAAGAAGCAGAAAATCTAAGTGGGGTGTAAACAGGTGTTCACTGTACTATTCTTTCAACTTTCTGTGGGCCTAGATTTTTTAAAAACTAAATTTTACGAACTAAAAGAAACACTCGAGTACAAAAACCAAGCTTGCCACCACATATTTTTACGTTTTGTGTTTCCAAGTCATTAGTTTCCCATTTAGTTCTCATTTAACAAATAGAAAGTACAAGCAACAGCTCCCCACCCAAGCAAAAATTAAGCTACCATGCCTGATTCTGCAGACCAACGCTAATGAAGACACTTACTGCCAAGAATTTCTGTAACCGCTTCTCGAGTCACTAGTGTTTCTGATTCCAAGTACACAACAAATGCAGCCAAGAAGACCAAACGCTGCAACACAAACCTCCAGTGCTCATGAAATCTGCATGGATATAAGCTCATTTAGGTTGAGGGATTAGGGGCCTTAAAAAAGATAAGTTTAGTACAATCGCAGTCCAACATTTTAGAAATAGAACGCTTTTTCATATCAAATCTATGTGAAACCCCAACATATAAAATGTGTAAGACTACGACACTTAAATATATCAGATGGAGACAGTGTAAGTTTTACAAGTTCAAATTTATAACAATTACTTATGAGAAGTTTAATAAATGAGAAACATGATCCAACTTTAATGAATATAAAAATATTTACAATTTAAGATTAGGGATGACAAGAACAACTGTATTTTAGAAGTTTAATCAGTAAGAACAATGATACTGCTCTCAGAAAAATTAAAATTGGCAAGTACAGATTGATGAGAACTGCAACTGTACATCAGCCTCAACACTTAACTTACTCTCACATTTTGATTTGAGTGTGGCGTATCAAGAAAATCTGATTCACACATGTAAGAAATAACTACCATTTGCAATCACTAAACCAACAGACTTTTAACTTTCAGGATACTGCAATTAAACTGAGCTAGAGGCACAAAAAAAGGAATAGAAAATTTTATAACCCCAAATATTAAGTGTTGTTATGCCTCCTGAATTTCAAATATGGCAAATTCAAAAAAAATTTTCAATACAATTCAAGTCAAACAAAACCTTCTAAGAGCCAAATCACTCAGAGGTCAGCCTCTGTGTGACCTCCAAACTACACGATCTCTCAAGATCCTGTCAATTCTATTGTTCAACGTCTCTATACATCTATTATTACCTTACAGCAGGGGTCAGCAAACCTTTTCTGTGAAGGGTCAGATAGTAATATTTTAGGCTTTGTGAACCACCTCCAGTCTCTGTCACATATTTTTATTTGGGTGTTTTGGGTTTGGGTTTTTTGTTGTTTTTTGTTTTTTTTAACAACCCTTTAAAATATAAGCAGTTCTTAGCTTCCAGAAGCAGCAGGCCACAGGTAGTTTGCCAACCCCTGCCTTAAATTATCCTGTAAAGTTATATTATCCACTTCCCACATACATGTTCTGTTTTTTGCCCACGTCTTAACAGACCATCTTTTTCACTAGAAAACACGTTTTTCACTAGGAAAACAAACACAAGTAAAGATTTTAGGTTCTTATTCACATATTTCATCAGTACCCAGTTGCAGCTTCTTCCAGTCTAACAATTGTGAAATTAGGATGCATTTTACAATCTATAAATTTCACAATTATGATTGGCAACAAAATTTTCTTCCCTAGTGGTACATAAAATAATGGTGACTCTTAAAATTAATGATGCTATAAATTCAACAAGACACAGCATAAAACATTAAATACGTTATTCGGCAGTAAAACTCAAACTCTGAGATAATACTCAATTCATGTATATACTGCCACTTAATCCCGTAACTTTAACAGATAGATATGGTTCACCCAATTTCACAAGTAACTTAAATATACTAAAAAAGATAATCTTTCGTTGATCTTCATACAACGAATATTTTCATTTTCATTCCTTTTTCGTTGCAAAAATTATACATGTTTCTTAGGAAAATTCTCAAAGGGAGGAAAAAAATAAAATCACCAAATTTGTCACTATTAAAATACCACCACTGTTAATAGTTTGGCTCTTTTTCATTGTTTCTTTTACATAGAGAAGTTTTTACCTAGTTCTAAGCAATCATTCAGTATATACAATTTTTCTCCTGCCTTTACTTTTACGTAACATTACAAAATAAAGCGATTTTTCTTACAAACCTGTAATACTGTTCAGCAGGGAACTTGGTCTTCAAAGATGTTAAATGTGTTTTAACTGTACCAAAATGTTCTCGAGCTTTCAAACACCTCTTTGGAACTGATCACAAAAAGATAATCAAACATAATAATAATGAAAGATTTATCAAATTTCAAATACAGTTCTTCCTTAATAATCTATGCAGTCTATCTGAAAATAAATCAACTTTAAAAAAAAAATCTCATGCCCAAATGCAGGGTATGCATCTCTACTTTTCAACCTGGCTCTCAAAATTTCATCTTTAGTTTCCCTACTGATTTACCAACACTGAAAAATAGACAAAAATTTGCTAAAAGGGAATACTTTAGCAGACAAGTCAGTAAGCTGTCCTAAATAATGTCATCCTTAAAGGACCATGTACCAGCTGCTATTCCTAGTCAGTCCTTAAAGGACGCCTTATTTGGACAGCTTCTAGCTCCCATATTTGGTCAAAAAGAAGCTTTATCAAATATTCTCAATCTGACTGACCAATTCCATACCACTGAGAAAAAGGACTTGCCTCTGACCCTTGTACATTACAATATGATATCATTCTCTGACTGAAAATATATTTCAGCTCTTTCAGTTGTGCTGGCTGTATCTTACAATGAAGGTTCCATGTTTAAACTTGTATCTGATCTCCATTCAAGGGGCTGACTGTAAACACATTAGGAACATTTTACACTGGCCATTTCTTATCTACAAATGCATATTAAACTATATTCAATGAATGAAAGACTGGGTTTAAAAGGAAGAGAGCCAAATGAAAGCTAAATACACAAGAGAGTACAAAACTATTACAATTACCACATTATAATTACGTTATCACATTACTATGTGAAAGTGGAAGCTCAACCATAACAAACAGAATTCTGTAACCATATAAAATGCTCAACTCACCCACTTCTCCAATTTTTACTCACCACACAACATGAGGGACATTGTTCTTAATAAAATGACACAGACTTGAAATGTTTTCTAAATGGAAATTAACTCTTTAACTCTTCAAATAACTCTTTTAAATGACTGATAAACTGGATCTTAAAAAAACCCTTCAAAATCAAAAGAACTTACTGTCCTGAAAACCAGCACCCTGATGGACCCCTTGCAGTAGAGTTAAGATCTCTCGAGCTGTTTGTTCTAAACTCTGTACAACTTTTCGGATTTCCTAGAGAGATTAAAAATCAAAGTAACAGATAAACTCATAATTATTATCAGAACCTCAAGCCAAATAAACCAGATAGCATAGATTAAATATCTATGACACCTTCACACACATGCAAAACTCTGACAATCTTTACAAAGACTGAACGGGTGCAGAAAATATCCAGGTTTGAATCCTGACTTTGCCACTTCCTTCCTCTGTGAGAGCTTCAAGACGTTATTAAAAAGCCTGAGATCTCTCATGTATCCTTCAAAGGATAATTGCCACCCAACCCAAATATCCCACTGAAACACTATAAATATTAAAGGAGATAAAGTATCTGAATGTAATTTGTAAAAAGAAAAATGCAATGCAATACAAAGACTGGGTAGTTCTCAATCATTTTACAAATATTCACTGAGCATACTTATGTGCGAAGCATTGTGTAAATACTGAGTACCCAACTAGACAGTCCTTTCCATCTCTCAGTTTAGAGCATAATGGGGGGAGACAGGCGTTTAAAAAATACGGATCGCACAAATGTTTTTAATGTGAATGCGCTACTAAAAAACACGACAGGAAAAGGATCATTCAGACTGTGAGATCAAGGATATGAATACGAGATAACCAGGAAAAGAAAGGAAAGATGCGAATTCCAGGAAAAGCAGACAGTACATGTAGAAGTCCTGAGGCAAGAAACTATCTGCGGAACTGGAGGAATGAAAGAGAAGTAAACTGAACATAATACACAACGGAAGATGGCGTAAAATGAGATGGGGTTAGGGGAGGAGACACCTGTGGGCCATAGCAAAGCCCGGATTAATATTCTATGTGGAATAAAAAGCCACAGGAGAGTTTTAAAGAGAAGAGGCCACACGTGCTCTTAAGCCAACAACAAAAAACACGTGAGATGCGTGTTGTCTTGAGTCCCAAGCGCTGAGCCTTCGACAGAAACAAGCGCCGAAAAGGAGAAAGACTGACACTCAAACGAGATTGGCGATGCTGAGGAGCCGAGACTCGAACACAGAATCAGGACAAGGCAGCAGAATCGCGGGTGGGGGAGGAACATGCCCTAAACTGAAACAAGTGGGGAAGCAACCCACCCCCGGAGGCTTCCCCACCGCTCGAGACAGAGCGACAGAGGAGGGCCGAGCGATGTGGCCCAGCAAGCAAGGAAAGGGAAAGGGGAGGGGAGGAGAGGGGGCTCGCCTCTCGGATGTCCTGCTCGGCAGCCAAAAAGCCCTGCAGCTCCACGAAGATCTCGCTCACAGACATGGCGCCGGCTGCACAACAATCAGCCAGTGCGGCGAGTGTGGCCGCGGAAGAGCGTTTCAGAGACCCCCAGCGCAGTCAGTCGCAACGCCCGCCGCCGCCGCCGCGTCCACCGGGCCCTGCGCTACGGACGTCGCTGGGGTCCTCCGACGTCCGCGGCGCGCAGGATACCGGGCTGTCCGCCGTGCTGCCTGATATGCCTCCTTACGCTTCCGGGCCGCGCGCGCGGAGCCGAGGCGCGTGCCCAGGGAGCGGGGCAGAAAGCAGTGGGTGGGGCTTCCAGCTGGGGACTTTTCGGACAGGCATCGCGGGGAACAGCCCGCGAAGTGAGGAGGAGGGTCCCTCGGGGCACGTGGGCCTGAGGGGGCGGGGCGGGCTTGGAGGTGGTGCGAGCGAGCGCGGCGGCTCTTAGCTTACGCATTTGTGTAAGGCTGAGCGGGAAGGGGCGGTGGGGAGAAATGCTTTAATGCTGAAGCGTATGCGTGAAAAGCCAGGTGCAGAAAACTGTAGCGAGATTGCAATTTTCGTGAAGAAAGAGGAAAAACGATGCATTCATATTTGCAAAAAGCACACGGGAAATAAAAGTGTGTAGGACCGTGAGAGTAGGTGATGGATTGCGAGCAAAATTTTTTTAACGTTTTCCTTGTATGATGACTATGACCTATTTAAATCATATGAATTTTTTAAGCGTGTGTGGTGGGAAGCTTCTCTTCCACTCAACTAACACCTCCTTAACCCAATTCCCCTTGAGGCAAGCGCCGTAATGATTTCTTGTCCTTGCAGACGTATTATTCCATACATCTACCCTACAAATAGAAATGTGTATCTGTGCGTTGTGTCAACCTGAAAATAGATACCATGAGAGCCAAATCAGTGTTTGAGATCAAAGAATTGCAATTCGGTGAGCACAGACTCCAGCAAGTGCCAAAAAAGTGTCCCGTCTGCAGGGTGAAAGCAAGGGTTTGTTTGGTTTTGGAGGGGGGCACCACATGACTTTGATAAAAGGAAAAAAAAGTGTTAATTTATACTAACAGGCTGGCTAAGGGCTAGGCCGCTTTTGGTTACACAGTGATGACTACTTCTATTGTTCTTGACAAACGATGCTATTCTTGGTTTACATTATTAACTATTGCGTCTAAAGAAAGTCCACAACCGAGAGTCTTATGATTGGGAAGCCCATGGTTCCGTTGACTTTAGGAATAATTGGTTGTGAAACAATTGCTTCTGGACCAGACCAGGTTTTTTGTTTGTTTGTTTTAGATTTATTTATTTTAGAGAGAGAGAGCAGGAGCGAGCAGGAGGGAGGGGCAAAAGGAGAGGGAGAGAAATCCTCAAGCAGTCTGGGATCCCAGGACCCCCAGACCCTGACCCCAGGGGAAATCAAGAGTCAGTCGCTCAACCTATTGAGCCACTCAGGAGCCCCTGGACTGGTCCTTTTTTTTCCAGTTCAAGAGTTCATTAGCAATTTGTTGTAGAAAGGAAAATGGAGCTTTTCTGGAAACGGAGTCTCTCATGTCTAGAATTGTATACAATCCACAGTAGGCTGCATTCTCCAAATGAATTAAAATGATTACTTGTTTCAACTAGATGAAATTTGTTTGCTTTGTGTGAGAGGTTATTCTAAAACTTTACATGAAGGACACTGTATCTTCATTATACTTCTGTGAAGCGGGTATTAGTGTTCCCTTATAAAGAGTCGGCCAAATCACTTTTTTCGAAAAATCTAAGTAGTTTTAAGCAGCCCCTAAGAGTGTCTTTTCTCATTTGTCATGTTAGAATTAATAACACCTATCTCTAAAAGTTTGGAGAATTATAAATGTGTGCAAATGACTACTTTCTGTCCCTATGAATTTGACTCTTCTAGGTACCTCATAGAAGGGGAATCATAAGGTATTTGTCTCTTTGTAACTGGCTTATTGCACTTACAATATTGACTTCAAAGTTCATCAGTTCTGGGGTGCCTGGGTGACTCAGTCGATTAACTGGCTGCCTTCAGCTCAGATCATGATTCCCAGCGTCTTGGGATCCAGTCCCGGACAGGGCTCCTTGCTCAGCGGAGAGTCTGCTTCTCCCTCTCCCTCTGCTGCTCCCCCTGCTTCTGCTCTCTCCCTCACGCTCTCTCTTTCAAATAAATAAATAAAATCTTAAAAACAACAACCACAACAACAACAAAAACAAAGTTCATCTATGTTGTACCATATATCAGAATTTCATTCCTTTTTAAGGCTGAATAATATTCTGCTTTATGTATATACCACATTTTGTTTATCCATTCATCCTTCAGTGGAAATTTGGGTTGTTTCCTCCTTTTGGCTATTATGAATGACGCTGCTATGAACATAGCTGTGCAAATATTCCCTGCTTTCAATGCTTTGAGGTACATGATGTTAACCTTAAAAATAAAACTGCCAATTATTTTACCAGCAAAAGATGGGTTTGTTCAGGAATGACAGAGAATTGCAATCCAGGACAAACAAGCTGTGGCAAAACTATAGGCAAATCTGCAGAACAAAGGAGAGAAATGCTCTTGTAGAGGAAAGTGAGAAGTTGGGAGGGGAGGAAAGCCTTCCTTCCTCCTACTAGAGTAGTAAAGTAGCATCTACATGTAAGGTCAGTCTCTTTCTATTGGACTTGCAATTGACTACAGTGGTAGGGCAGGAGAGCTCTGAGAGCCCTGCCAAACCTCCCAACCCCATTTTAGTGAGGTTTCCCTTTATGAATGTTCACAATAACCCGAAGTGGTGTAATTTTTTAAAACATTTTATTTATTTATTTTAGAGAGAGCGTGCAAGTGCCAGTGAGGGGAGGGGCGGGGGGGAGGAGACGGAGAGAATCCCAAGCAGACTCCACCCTGAGTGCAGAGCCCAACATGGGGCTCAGTCTCACCACCCATGAGATCATGACCTGAGCCAAAACCAAGAATTAGGTGCCCCTATAAGCTCATTTTTTTAAAGATTTTATTTATTTGTTTGAGAGAAAGAAAGAGCACATGAGAGGGGGGAGGGTCAGAGGGAGAAGCAGACTCCCGCCTAGCAGGGAGCCGGATGCAGGGCTCAATTCCAGGACTCCAGGATCATGACCTGAGCCGAAGGCAGTCGCCTAACCAACTGAGCCACCCAGGCGCCCCTATAAGCTCATTTTTTAATTGAAGTATAGTGCATACAATATTATATTAACTTCAGGCGTACAATAAGTCTAGTTACCATCGGTCACCATACATAGTTATTACAATATTATCAACTATATTCCCTATGATGTACTTTACACCCCCATAATTTATTTTTTTTATAACTAGAAGTTTGTACCTTTTAATCTCCTTCACCTATTTCACCCATCCCCCCACAGCTCAAATTCAAACATCGTAAGATTATAACTCTTAAGATAGTGCTTTATAGAGAGGCTCCTGGGTGGCTCAGTCATTAAGCGTCTGCCTTCGGCTCAGGTCATGATCCCAGGGTCCTGGAATCGAGCCCTGGTCGGGCTCCCTGCTCAGCGGGAAGCCTGCTTCTCCCTCTCCCACTCCCCCTGCTTGTGTTCCTTCTCTCTCTGTCAAATAAATAAATAAATAAAATCTTTTTTTTAAAAAAGTGCTTTATATATTTACATTATAGGAATGTTAATTCTATTAGAAAATTGTCTCCATCTTGTTTATTTCTACATAGTGAAAGCAGAGTATGCTCCTAAGGTGGGCTGAATTACCCATCACCTCACCCTACTGAGAACTTTTCTCAGTGCCTGTCAGACACTCAATAGATATGTGGTGAATGAATCACCTTTACCAAATTGCCCTGCAGTTCAGTTGTAACAATCACACTCTGTTTTAATGTGTAAATGTGTTTTGGGGTGGAGGGGAAAGAGAGAGAGAGAGAGAATCTTGGCAGGCTCCACACCCAGCACAGAGCCTGATGCAGCACTTGATCTCATGGCCCTGAGATCATGACCTGAGCTGAAATCAAGAGTCAGGTATTTAACTAACTGAGCCACGCAGGTGACCCTAAAATGTAGACATTGTTCATGTGATTTTATTTGTGGAATGAGCATGCCATATTCATTAACCCAGTCAGTCACTTACCAAAGGCTATTTTGTTTGGTTCCAATTCTTTCTGTTATAAATAGCATTGTGATAAACGTCTTTGTAAGCCCTTATCAAGATTTAAAATAATTTTTAATAGGTCCTATTTTTAAAGTTCTTGGTATATTTTGCCAAATCACTACCCGGAGAGATTAAACTAATTTCCCCTCCCCTGCCCACCAGAGCCTGAAGGAGCCAACTTGGCTGCAATCTTCCCAATGTGAATATTAACACTGCAAACATTCTAGGCTAATTTCAGGGGGAAATTATACCTCTGCTAATAGCATGGAAAACTATGTAAAGGGTGATGCACTCCTGCAAGGTTCTTTGAAGGGCAAAAAGGTGTGGAAACCAAAGACTGGTTGGGTGTCATTGCCACAGTCCAAGAGCAAGGAAAAGGGGTTAGGGAACCAGAGAAAGATGGAGAATAGGAGATGGGCCTCAGGCTCTGTCTCATTTGTACCCACGGGATTTTATAAGAGATGACAGAGCGACAACATGGAGAGGACAGTGTCACTGAAATAGTTTAACACATTTCCCAAGAGGACAGGGCATGCCATGCCCTGAAGAGGACCACATGGGGAAGCACCAGGTTTAGTCAGGAGGCAGAAGCAGGACTGAGGGAAAGCCTGAGCCAGAGCCTTTATGGGGGTTTCTGCAGGAAAGGCAAGGCAGGGCAGGGGAACTAGCTTAGGACTGGCCAGCTTGATTAATCCTAAAGGACTTTAGGCTGGTACCTGGCTATGGCATGATTTAGGGTCAGGCTAAAATCTTGACTTGGCATATGAGCTGGATAAGGAAGCGGCATAAGAAAGATGTGCTCCAGGCTGAGCTTTTTGAAATCTCTAAGAATTAGCTAGTTTTGGAAGAGACGGTCTCTCCCTAGCCAGCAAGCTTTTTAAGATGTCAAAACATTAGGGACGCCTGGGTGGCTCGGTCAGTTAAGTGTCTGCCTTTGGCTCAGGTCATGATCCCAGGGTCCTGGGATCGAGTCCCGCATTGGGCTCCTTGCTCAGTGGGGAGCCTGCTTCTCCCTCTGCCCCTCACCCCCCCACCCCCTTGTGCTTGCTCTCTCTCTCTCTCTCTCTGGCAAATAAATAAAATTTTTTAAAAAGATGTCAAAACATCACAAAATACAGAAAACAAGAAACATGATGAATACAGGCTGGAAAGAG